TGACGTCAGTTAGCAATTATCTTCATCCTGGGAATACATTCTGAATTGTATTTTATTAACTGATGTAGTCTAGTCGCATTGTGGGTGCAAAATAAATTTAAGTGATTAAAGAGAACAAAAATATGAATGCATGTGTTTTGTGGGGATACATGATATATTACAAACCTAAATTCACCAACTATTCAATTTCCCCATTTTATTTTGTTTGCTTAAATCAGTGAAAGGAATATAAGTCATTAACATTAATCAAAACCTATATAGATGTAGTTTATGTCACAACCTCCTATATATTAATTAAGAAAACCTAAGATAAAAAATTATGTGTCATTCAATGATGATTTAAAGGAACATGTCATTTAAATTAATTAACGAGAACATTTCAACTTTTCAATTATAAGTATATGCTGGTGTAAATCTCTACATATTTTTATTAGTTTTATAACATAAGCCTACGAATACATGTTTCACAAATTTAGGCCAAACTAAATGTAATAGTTAGACTTACCATATCATCCATTTACATATATATATATATATTAAGAAGCTTTTTATTATATTTATAACAATATTATTTATTGTGTACATATGTATTTAGATTATTATAATATATACAAATATTTTAATTATGATAAGCAATTATATATATCTAACTACACATACAAATATTTCATATTTCATTATTGGGAACATATATTATTTTTCATTTGTTATGTTCGACAAATTCATATAAATCTAAAATTTATGTGATTTATCGCATGCTTTATAATTTCACGAATAATAAAAATTAATTTTACACTTCAAATGTATTAAAATAAATAACATTTGCATATGTTTTGATCAATTTTGCACATAAAAATATTAAAAATAATGGCATCAAAATATGGTTGATCAAAATTTAATTTCATTATATTTATACACAATACATATCATTTTGTACGTTTATAAATATAATAAATTATATGTTTTGCCATACACGCTTAAATATTAAAATCGATTAAAAATATATTTAATCATTAATCTCACGTTTAATGTTGGTCAAATTAGAAACCGTACTGCCTGCTTTAATCAAAGAGACAACTTCGCCTTCATTAGGAGCTTTGCTATAAATTCATGTCCTCTTGTAATAACTAATTAACCTATCATGTACTATAAATGTAACATTATATTATAGTATTATCATATGATGCAATTATAACACTAACATAGAATACAGAAGAAAAAATATCATTTCTGGATTGTAGTTACAAACACTTATCTTTTATTGGATACAAATGTGGAAATATGGAAAACAATATATAGCTATAACACATTTTAAATATTTTTTTAAAGCGAGATATAACATATACGGTATAATTGATAATTATGGCGGTATAATTGATAATTATGGCTGTAATTCAGCAATAAAAATAGGTATAAATATAAGCAAATAAGATTTAGTTTGTATTGAGAAGCTCCTCTATCATTTGCAAAGCAA